ACCCCCTATAGGCTAACCCACTGTAGCCTACACAAGTATAACATATATAATGTTTGACAAACCGTGATCCCCCTGTCCTGGAGGTATCCAACACCCACCAAGTTCTAAGTGAACGAGGGGATGTGGAGGCCGCGCAGGACACCAGAGGGGACCACAGGGCACGGGAGGGTGGTGGAGCTACGCGCAACGGCTGGTCCAGAGGTAGGATCAGCCAGAGCCACTGACACAGGAGTGAGGAGTGGCGTAAGGGTCGTGTGGTCGCGGAAGAAGCACTGAGACGCGCCCGAGTTCAGCGTGAACGACAGAGAGGCCTCAGCCGGAGGGTCACCTGACCCAGTCGCTACACAAGCACCTAGAGCAGCAACACAAGCACCTAAGCTAGACAGGCACAAGGCTACACTAGCAGGAGGCAAGCAGGCTAAACTACGAACACGCGAGCACACAGATCCCTCAGCACTAAAGTCAGCATCAACATACAAAGCATGCTGACGCGCATCGTCCATGGACAAACGAAAGACATCAATCTTACGGGTTAACAGACGAGACCAGCGAGGCGTGACCGCCAAGGGGCCCCAACGAGCCCGGTAGAGATCGTCGAGGCGGCAGAAGCACCGCGCGGTAGAGTGGTCGCCGCGACCACAGAGACAGGGGTTGCCCGACCCGGTGAGGCACTAGTGGGTGCAGGGGCCAGCGTCACGGCGAGGGGGGCGAGGGGCCCAGCTGGAAGAGCTGCTGCTGCGGCCAGTGCTCTCAGGGCCTCCCGGACCCCACTGCGGCGGGGGACCCAAGTGCTGCTGCGGACCCCACTGCAGCGGGGGCCCCCACTACTGGAACTGCTGCAGTGTCTGCTGCTGTTGCTGTCCCTGCTGCTGCTGCTGTCCCTGCTGTGGCTGGTGCTGCTGTGGCTGCTGCTGCTGGGGGGCAGCACCCCCACCGGTCGGGCCACCACCTGTGGGTGGACTTGTCTGTCCTGCGCCTCCTCCGAGGCCCCCTCCCCCTGGTGCACCGCCGCCGCCGCCGCCGCCGCCTCCACCACCACCGCTGCTCCCACCTCCACCGCCCCCTCCACCGCCACCTCCTCCGCCCCCACCTCCCCCCTTCCCGCCCTTCTTGCCACTCTTGCCCCGTTTCTGCCAGTCTACGGCAGAAATGGCAGCGGTGTCCTCAGAGACCGACACAGCAGCAGAAGCGCGGGTAGCGGTGAAAGTGGGAAGCTGAGGGGCGGCACACCCCGCAAAGAGACGAGGGGCCACCGCATCAGTGGCGGAGGCAACGGTGAGGAGGCTGTTCTCGATGGTCCCGAGAGCAGTCTGAAGGAGGTCTATAGTGAGTTCAGTGGGGTGCTTCTGAAGAAGCGCGTCGCGGGCAGTGGCAAGGCGGTCAGGGAGGCGGGTGACTAACCAGTGCACAGTGAGCCACATGGGGGGGGGGAGCAACAAGGAGTTGTGCGTCGGTACAGGCCGAACGAAAACCGGCGTCAAGCGAGCGGAGGAGAGTCACTAGGTCGGAAACAGTCGCAAACGAGCCTAGGTCGGGAAACACGAACGGCATGAGGAGGCGACTGAGGGAGGCAGAGGAGGGGGTGGAATAGCAAGCCACAATAGCATCCCAAACCCCCTTGGCTGTCTCCACCTGGTCAAAGTGAGCGGCCTCAGTCGGGGGGAGAAGCTCCGATAGCGTGAGGGTGGCGGCCGCGTCACGAGAGAGCCACACGTCTCGAGCCAGGACCCGACGGTCGTAGTCCGCCTGGGCCGTAGGAGTCGGCTCCGGGGCGGTCGGCAGGGCGGCGGGGGACGGGGGTGCCGCGAGAGCACCCGACGCGTGGGCCCATAGAGTAGCGCCGTCCTGACGCTGGCTGGTGAGGAAACGTGTGGTCTGGCGCTGCCAGGTACCGAACTCGATCGGGCGTCCCTCAGCATCGAAACGGAGGCGACGGGCCTCCATAGCGGAGCCCATGCTAGAGGCGACTGGAGCACGGCGGAGGCGGAGCTAAGAACGAGGAGGAAAACTAGGGAGGGCTAGGGACGCCAGCGGGGAAACTGACGAGAGACAGTCGGCGAGAAAATAATCGTGGGGCGGGGCTCTAACCGAACCTAGGTGGCGCTACCGGAGAAAAAAGCGGCTGCCAGCCGCTGAGCCGGGAGCCAAGTGCAGGAGGAATGGCGTGGGACCGGTGCACAGGTGAAGGGGAGAGAGATGCAGTAAGCGCACAGAGTGATGCGGTAAGTGTACGCAGGTGTGCGGTAAGCGCACGCAGGTATGCGGTAGGTGCACGCAGGTGTGTGGTAAGTGCACGCAGGTGTGCGGTACGCGCACGCAGGTGTGTGGGAAGCGCACACAGAGTGATGCGGTAAGTGCACGCAGGTGTGCGGTAAGCGCACGCAGGTGAGCGGTAGGTGCACGCAGGTGTGGGGTAAGCGCACGCTGGTGTGCGGGAAGCGCACGCAGGTGTGCGGGAAGCGTTGACGGAGGAGGGCGCGCGACGGTTGAGGAGGGCGCGCGACGGTGGGGGGGAGGGCGCGCGGCGGTCTAAGGAGGGCGCACGACGATTTTGGAGGGCGTGCAACGGTGGAGGAGGGCGCGCGACAGGCTGGACAGCGCGGGAGGGCGCGGGCTAGGCACGAGGAGGGCGCGGAGGGAGCGGAGGGCGCGGAGGGCGCGAGAGCACGGAGGGCGCGTAGGGCGCGGAGGCTAGCTAAAAACGAACGCGGATCTAACCTACTCGTGATACCATCTTAGAATAGGAATGCAACGGAATGATCGAAACTAGAAAGTGTGAGAGTACAAATATGCAACCCTAACAACTGTACTCCCTATTGTGCTACTCACTGTAGCCTACAAGCATAGAATTACATTTGACAGCAACCTATTGGTTGGGCACGAATTTGTTGCAAGACCTTGCAGTTTTACAAAACTTTACATCCACACGCGACTCAAGACCTTGCAGTGGTACAGGACTTTACATCCGTTGATTGGGCAGGTGTGGGTAGAAAGGATTCTCGATCCTACCAGTTAATTTGGCTGGATGGAAGAACACGATTTGCAGAGCGGGATGTCTGACTAAATTTACTGGCTGGCAGTTTTCATGTTGTTGACACTCTGCCAACAATGTTGGCAAGTGTCAAAACCAGAAGTTGACACTCACACGCTTGACATGTCATCCCTACGGACATGACCTGAAATTCAGGGTTGATCATGAGCACTACTCTGATTTGTCAGAGAAAACTTAACTTTAGTCCGTGTATCTACTTGTCCATTCGGGTGTGTCCTGTCAAGTATTGAACCCATGCCTACCGCGCCCCTAAAAGCAATTTGATCGTTGTGCTAACTAGTCACTACGAATTTCGAGTTTAATTTATAAATTCTCTAGCCATTTTTAACCTGCACAAGGCTGGGGCTTGATCTAAATGCCTATACCCTGTACAGAGAAAAATGCATTCGCCAGAAATTTACACTGGTCTATCAGAGTAGCTAAAATCAAGACCCTGGAAAATCAGAGAAAACTTATCTTCCAAAAAAATTACTCAGCAACGTCAGAGTGACCCCCCAAAAACCACTCTGATTTTCAGAGAAACAGAGTGATTTACTCTGATAAAAAAACCCCTGCTAGCTAGCTTTGCTATATTATGCATAGGCCTCGTTGTTTGCTCAGTAGTTGTAATCACTTCCGCGTTATTGAATACTGCGCACTCTTCTTTCGTACAACTCATAACAGTCCGTGTGGCTTTTTTTTTTATCCAGGTCTTTTCTTGGCCCACAACAACCACAATCCAGCTTCAATTACTACAGCAATGAGACCTTGAAAATGATGTTCCAGTACATTACTATCTTTGACTTATCGGGCTGGTTCAGCACAGCACGAGATAACAACGCGTACGGCAGTTGTCATTTCCGTGCACTCCAGAGCGTCCGTTTGTTGTGTGTGGCTGAGAGCTATCATCAGGAAAAACTAGAGATTCTCCGCTTCTTCGTGAGCCTGATCATAGAATTACCTGTTTTTGTTGCATTGCACTCGCATCATCGCCATCTCCTCCCCAATGTCCCTCGCAGCCTGCTCCTTCCTGCCATACCCACAGCTTCGTCTCACCTTCCCCGCACAGGTGAATCACGCCTCGCGTTTCACGCCCGTATTCGCTGCCGTTCCCCTTGGGATCTCCGTTGGTCGCGCCAGCCGTCGCAGTTCCCTTCCAAGTCGACCTTGCAGGATCCATTCACTAACCTTTCCTACAGTCACACCGCATTCACTCACATCCTTCACATTCACGAAGCATTTGATCACTTCTGTAACACTCTCCCAGCCTCGTAACTGCCGAAGTTTCGCAAATCCGTTCTCTGGTATCCTCGGGATTGATCCGGTATCAACTAGGAAGAGCACATTTCCGGGCAGAAACTTATCAAATCAGGCGGATTCTACTGGTCACAGTGGTGCAGTGAGTGCGATGGGCAAGAAGAAAGGAGCCAACGCTGCAGAGCCAGCGGGGGTCACAGAGGCCAAGCCAGCACCACCTGTCAGGCTAATCGGTAAGTTGGTAGTTGAGTTGTTTGATTTGATAAATCACCCAGATCAGGCGGATTTCAGTCCACTGGTCGCCGTGGTGTAGCCGCTGCGATGGGCAAGAAGAAACGAACCAGCGCTGCTGAGCAAGGGGGGCCCACAGGGGCCAAGCCGGCACCACCTGCCAAGCTCATCTGTAGATGCCAGTTCGGCCAAACTTGGTCATTGGCAATGAGCAGTTCTATTAATAAATATCATGTACTTGAATTGCTGTTCAGAAGTCTCATTTGCATCAATTTTGGTCAAACTCGCATTCTAAAACAGTTAGTTTTGCTCTTTTCTGGCCTTCGTTCACAATGGTGCATCTCGTGTTCCTGCCATGTCACCAAAGGCTCAATCCTGTATGTTTTTTCTGTTTCCCAACCCGCCTCCCCTTGTGTGATGACCGATTGTGCATGACCACTCTCCGAAAACATCCCACTTTCCTGCTTCCGCAAACGTGCAGAAATTGCAGCCAACTTAACAGGTAACTCGGTCGCAACGTTTTCGTCATGTCCGTTTTGTTCTGTACTTGCTAGGTGCGGCGCTACATGACCAAATGAATTCATTCGGATAAGATGGTGTCTTTGATAGTGATTTTCCGGCTTTCTCTTCCTGTATGGCTCCTTTTCTGATAACCTTTATCTGCTCGCCTTCTCTCTGATCCTGTCTCCAGGCATTCCCCCCTTCACTTAGTATGGAGGTTGCTTCCCTCCCTTGTTGCCTTTTGCCCGTTTCCCCTTGCAAACCAACGGCAGATGGAATGTTCCAAGGCTGCTACCATGGCAAACAGGCGCACCCACCAGACCTGCAGGCAGTGCTTTCCCGAGCCTGGGAGGCTGGAGTGGAGAAAATTATAGTGAGTGGCAGAGGCAATGTGATGCCAACTGTGTTTTTCCTCTGAGTGTTCAAGGCCTCTCCTCTTTGCCTCGTTCAGTTCTTGGTGTGTGTCAGTTACTTTCCTCTCGTCCTTTTTTACTTGTGTCACTCTGCTTTCACCTGTGTGTGAGTGTGTGTGTGTGGGGTGGGGAGGGGGGTGGGGGGGGAGTGCGTGTTCGCGCGCGCTTGTGTGTGCGTGTGTGTGTGCGTGTGTGCGTGCGTGTGTGTGTGTGTGTGTGTGTGTGTGACTGCGCGCACTTGTTTGCGCACGCGCGCGCGCGTGTGTGCGTACGCGACCGCACAAATGTGTGTGTGTGTGTGTGTGTGTGTGTGTGTGTGTGTGTGTGTGTGTGTGTGTGTGTGTGTGTGTGTGTGTGTGTGTCAGATCACTGGAGGCAGCTTAGAGGAGAGCCGAGCAGCACTCGCCCTGGCAGAAACAGATGGTGTGTGAATGGAGTGAGTGAGTGACTGAGTGAGGGAGGGAGTGAGGGAGCGAGAAAGTGAAAGCACTACAGTGCTTGCTTAGAAAGGAATAGGCGAGCGAGTCGACTCAAAACACGTCTCCTATTTCCTGTTTGCCACAAGCGTCTCCCTAATGAAAGTCTATATTGTTTCCCCATGCGAGCATCTCCTTTGTCATCTTTCCTCGTATACTCCTTGTATTCCCCCGACCATGAACCTCAGAGTTTTCTTCGCCGCCAACATTGGAATTCCATTCCCCTGCGTTCCTGCCACACTCAATTATCTGATTAAATTATAATCCCGCATTTGTCGTGTCTCCCCTCTCTTCCCCCCTTCCCCCTCCCTCCTTTCCCCACTCTCTTCCTTACCCCCCTCTCCTTCTCCAAAGATCGCCTCTTCTGCACCGTCGGCGTCCACCCTACCCGTTGCTCTGTAAGGAACATGTTTTCTCGGGAATTGTATCTCCCCTCTCCCCGCTCGCCCCTGTCCCTCGTTCCCAATACTCTTCCCTCCCTCCTTCTCCAAAGACCGCCTCTTCCGCACCGTCGGCGTCCACCCTACCCGTTGCTCTGTAAGAAGCAGGTTTGCATTGGCTCAGGCGGTTGTTGAGCTTAAAAACAAGAAAGAATTAAAGAGAATTTAAGCTAGCTCACACACCATTCACTGGATCGTAAGGAATATGTTTGCAAGGAGGCGATCTATTAGAGTTCTTAGAAAGCGATGCACATCAACACCATGGACTGGCCTGTAAGGAGTATGTTTACAAGGGCCTGTGCATGGTTGGTTTGGTGTACCATCTAAGTCTTATTGAGGCGTCTCAAAACCTTAGCATCTGCTCCTCATCCCCATTTTTCACTCATTGCAACCCCTCTAGCACTGTTCGCCACCCCGATATCTCCTTCCACTCCGTGTTTATTGTTTTTTCTCAATGTAATATCTTTCTCTCGCCACGGCGTCCCATCCGCTTTCTTCTCCTCCATCCTTCCTTCCTCTCCTCCCTTCCCCACTCTCTCCCACCCCCCGTTCTCAGGAGTTTGACGCGAGTGGGGATCCGCAGAAGCACCTGCAGTCGCTACTGAAGCTGGCAGAAGAAGGGAAGGCCAAAGGCAAGGTGCGTCTGGGGGAAAATTCTCTTTAGGCGGTTATAAACGTTCTGGGAATCTGAGGCAGAAGCACCTGCAGTCGCTACTGAAGCTGGCAGAAGAAGGGAAGGCCAAAGGCAAGGTGCGTCTGGGGGAAAATTCTCTTTAGGCGGTTATAAACGTTCTGGGAATCTGAGGCAGAAGCACCTGCAGTCGCTACTGAAGCTGGCAGAAGAAGGGAAGGCCAAAGGCAAGGTGCGTCTGGGGGAAAATTCTCTTTAGGCGGTTATAAACGTTCTGGGAATCTGAGGCAGAAGCACCTGCAGTCGCTACTGAAGCTGGCAGAAGAAGGGAAGGCCAAAGGCAAGGTGCGTCTGTGTGAAGGGCTGTTTCTCTCTAGGCAGTTTAGCAAGTCCCGGAGATCTGATCTGAGGCACGAGCACCTGCGTCTACTGCAATTACTGCTGAAGCCTGAAGCCCGCGGAAGAAGAGAGGTACCTCAACATCCCCGGGGCACCATCCAATCTCCTTACCTTATTGAATCTCCCTGGCATTCATTTTGTTCCTTTTTTTCACCTCCGTTTGGGTTTGTCTTGGAATTCATGTTAATCCGTACTTTTGTCTTGGCCCACCTGTTGCAGGTGGTGGCGATGGGCGAGTGCGGGTTGGACTATGAGTCTGTGACCGCCTTGTGTTCCGTCCTTGCCCCCGCCCGTAACACACACCCCCCCTCTTTATGCAGTCGCCCCATCACCTTGCTCTTTCCTTTGTTTTGCCCCTCGAGTTGCAGGTGGTGGCGGTGGGAGAGTGCGGGTTGGACTGTGATCGCCTTGTGTTCCGTCCTCCATATTGTCCCTCCCCCTTTTGGAGTCCTCTCAATTGATATTGTTTCGCGCTTTGGCCCACTTATCGAGTCTCCAGAACCATACTGTTCCATCCCTTGCCCCGCCTTTTGAGTCGACTCAAAAGTCAACCCATACTGTTCCATCCCTTGCCCCGCCTGTTGCAGGTGGTGGCGGTGGGCGAGTGCGGGTTGGACTATGACCGCCTTGTGTTCTGCCCCAAGGAGGTGCAGCAGAAGTGAGTTGGAAAGAGGGGAGAGGGGAGAGGGGAGAGGGGAGAGGGGAGGGGGGAGGGGAGAGAGGGAGAAAGGGAGAGAGGGTGAAAGGTTACAGCACAAGAATTCTGCGGAATGGCACATGCTGTCCACTCTATAGCATCCCTTTCCATCCCTCCCATGCCTACCATCCCCCCCATGCCTACCATCCCCCCCATGCCTACCATCCTTAATATTCCTCCCATCCCTTCCATCCCTTTCCTTCCTCACTCCCTTCCCCAATATATTTCGAGCTCCAGTGCCACCTCGCCCAAGCCACCCAGCTGCCTATGTTCCTGCACATGCCCTCAAGCCCACCTCTCTCCTGATTCTTCCCTGCTATGCCTCCCATTTCTCCCCTTTGCTCACTGAGTTCCCCAAGGTACTTCGAGCTCCAGTTCGACTTCGCCCAAGCCATCCAGCTGCCCATGTTCGTCCCATCTGCTAAGCACATGCCCTCAAGTATATACTCTTCCCATCCCATACCATACCCACCGTTTCTCCCGTCCCTTCCTCCCATGCCTCCCTCCCATCACCCTCCTTGCTCTTGACCTTCCCGAAGGTACTTTGAGCTCCAGTTCGACCTCGCCCAAGCCACCCAGCTGCCCATGTTCCTTCACATGCGCGCTGCTGCTGACGATTTCCTAGAGATTGTGAAGAGGAACGACAGCAGGTGAGGGAGGAGGGGGCAGCGTTTGAGTGCGGTGCAGTGAGGTACAGCTTGATTGTCTTGAACCACCCAGCTGCCCATGTTCCTTCACATGCGCGCTGCTGCTGGCGATTTCCTGGAGATTGTGAAGAGGAACGAGGGCAGGTGAGGGAGGAGGGGGCAGCGTTTGAGTGCGGTGAAGTGAGGTACAGCTTTATTGTCTTGAAACACCCACCTGCCCATGTTCCTGCACATGCGCACTGCTGCTGCTGCCCAGGAATGAGAGCAGGTGAGGGTGGGATGGATGGGGAAAAAGGCGAGGAGAGGAGGGTGTGAGTGCTGTAGGGGATGCTGGGGCGGAGGCAAAGGTTCAAGGTGCTATTTTGGTGCAGTGCAGTGATCACCTGCAGCACCCATCATGAGTGCCACCCACCAATCATGGGTCACCAGCCCATATGTGGTCTCCTTGTGATGAGTCAAATAACCACCATATGCACTCACAAATTGCTTTCTTTCCATATGTGAGTATCTTTCTTTACCCCCTGTTCCCTGATTCTCCATGGGTTTGCAATGCTCCAGGTTCGTTGGGGGGGTGCTTTTGAGTCGACTCTGCTTTTGAGTCGACTCTGCTTTTGAGTCGACTCAAAAGCTGATTCTCCATGGGTTTTGCGATGCTCCAGGTTCGTGGGGGGGGTGGTGAATTCGTTCCCAAGATGTTGCAGAGTATTTTTGAGAATTCTCAAAAATACTCTGCAACATTGTGGGGGGGGGTGGTGCATTCGTTCCCTGGCACGTTTTGAGGCCCCTCAAAACTAGACTTGCGAATTGACTCCCCCAAGTCATCATTCTCCCTTTGCTCCCTGCTCCTTCATGGATGTGCAAAACTACTCCGCAGGTTCGTGGGGGGGGGAGTGGTGCATTCGTTCACAGGCACGTGCGACGAGAGGGACGCCATTCTCGCAGTGCCCAAGCTATCCATAGGTGAGAGAGAGCAATGCTGCCGGTCAGGCCTCTAATCAGCACCGCCCAAGTGCCGTGCGTTGTGAAGTGGCAAGCTGGCTCGTGGGGGGAGTGGTGCATTCCTCGTTCACAGGCACGTGCGAGGAGGGGGACACCTTTCTCGCCGTTCGAGGTGACTTTTGAGTCGACTCAAAAGTCACCTCGTGGTGCATTCCTCCTTCACAGGAGCGTGCGAGGAGGGGGACACCATTCTCGCCGTTCCAAAGTTATCCATCGGTGAGAGAGAGCAGTGCTGCCAGCCGGGTGACAGAGGAGAGGTCGACAGGTGGATCGGGACCGCCCAAGTGCATTACGTTTGTGAAGTGGCAGGCTGGTTAGTGAATTTGTGGGAGTTGTAGTTTTTGTTTTATTTTTTCCTCCCTTCTTCTTTCCATCCTTGCGTCCTCCTTCCCATCTCTCCATTGCAGGCATCAACGGTTGCTCTTTAAAGACGGAGGACAATCTTGAAGCCATGGCGGGGATCCCTCCCAACCGTCTCATGCTTGAGACCGACTCCCCCTATTGTGATGTGCGGCCGAGCCGACACACACCTCTCTAACCTCGGCCTCTCTCCCCCGCGCGCTTTCATCCCATGTCCCCATGCAGGCATCAACGGATGCTCATTAAAGACGGAGGACAATCTTAAAGCCATGGCGGGGATCCCTCCCAATCGCCTCATGCTTGAGACCGACTCGCCTTACTGCGATGTGCGGCCGACACACGCCGGCCACCGATTCGTGGGCAGCAAGTGGGCGGCAAAGAAGAAAGAGGCACATTCGGAGGAGGCTATGGTGAAGGGCAGGAACGAGCCGTGTGCCATCAGGTGGGCATGTGGGATTGGGGTATGGGATGTGGTGACTGGGGCAGCAAGTGGGCGGCAAAGAAGAAAGAGGCACATTCGGAGGAGGCTATGGTGAAGGGCAGGAACGAGCCGTGTGCCATCAGGTGGGCATGTGGGATTGGGGTATGGGATGTGGTGACTGGGGCAGCAAGTGGGCGGCAAAGAAGGAGGCGCATTCGGAGGAGGCTATGGTGAAGGGCAGAAATGAGCCGTGTGCCATCAGGTGGGCATGTGGGATTGGGGTATGGGATGTGGTGACTGGGGCAGCAAGTGGGCGGCAAAGAAGAAGGAGGCACATTCGGAGGAGGCTATGGTGAAGGGGAGAAACGAGCCGGGTGCCATCAGGTGGGTGTGTTGGAAGGTAACATGTGACGTGCTGTGATGTGATGTGATGTGCTGTGATGTGATGTGATGTGATGTGATGTGATGTGATGTGATGTGATGTGATGTGATGTGATGTGATGTGGTGTTATGTGATGCGATCTAAGGAGGAGTGAGACAAGCAAATGGGCGGCAAAGAAGAAGGAGGCACATTCGGAGGATGCGATGGTGAAGGGGAGAAACAAACCCTGTGCCATCAGGTGGGCATGTGGGATGGGGTAGGTGGGTATCTGGGATGGGGTGGGGATGTGGGATGAGGGAAGGAAGGTGTGGGATTATTTAGGAGAAAGAGGCACATTCTGAGGATGCGATGGTGAAGGGCAGGAACGAGCCGTGTGCTATCGGGTGGGTTTGGGGTTGGGGTATGGGGTGTGGGTGACATGTGCTGTGATGCAAGGAGGAGAGGGGCAAGCATATGAGAAGCCAAGAGGAAGGAAGTTAATTCTGAAGATGCGATGGTGAAGGGCAGAAACGAGCCGTGTGCCATCAGGTTGGCGCGCATGTGGGAAGGGTTGGGGTGGGTGGGTATGTGGGGTGGGGTAAGGGAAGTAAGATGGTGGAAGGTTTCATTTCAGGGGAAGAAGAGAGAAGCTTTTCAGGCACCTCAAAAGAAGAAAGTAGCTCTTTTGGAGGATGCGACGGTGCAGGGCAATGATAAACCCCTGTGCCATCAGGTGGGCATGCATGGGATGAGCTTGCGGCATGGGATATGACTTTTGAGGCGCCTCAAAATCCGTCAGGTGGGCATGCATGGGATGTGCTTGTGGCATGAGGTATGTGTACATTCTAGAGGCGCCTCTAAAGGTGTGCTTGTGATGTGAGGAATCAAGCCCTGCATTTCTTCTTGCGCCATGCTGTGCAGGCAAGTGCTGGAGGTGAGGTGGTGTGGTGTGGTGTGTGGTAGAGGGGAGTGGAAGATGTGAACGAGTACTTTTGATTCTGTTTTTTTTTTTTTTTTTTTTTTTTGATTCTGTTTTTTTTTTTTTCTGTTTTTTTTTTTTTTTTTTTTTGACTGAACAAGTACTGCTGATTGCACACAGAGCGAGGATTTGAGGCCATCTCCTATATTGTTCCCCATATGATGTATGCTGTGCAGGCAAGCGCTGGAGGTGGTGTGTGGGTACAGGGGAGTTTGCTCGCATCGTCTATCACAGCACCTGCTCCTGTTCTTTTTCTCTCCGTCCTCATGCGATGCATGCGCTGCAGGCAAGTGCTGGAGGTGGTGTGTGGGTACAAGGGAGTAGAGGACGTCGAGGAATTTGCTCGTACTGTCCATGACAACACTTCCAGGTACATACGTCCCCCATGCCCACCCTTCTCCCTGTTTCCCCTTTTCCTGCCTCCTCCAGGTTCCCCTCTGCATCCCACCTCTTTCCGCTCCTCCTCCCTCCTCTTTCCCCTCTCCTTCTCTTGCTTGCCACCCTCCTCTCAAACTTTTCGTTCCCGTTTTCCTTTTCCCATCCCACGCCCACTCACCGTTGAGGCAAGTGTTTTTACTGCTCTTGACATGAATACACTCTTGACCCACTATTTTCCCAATGCTGTCTATCTCTGTGCATCCATGCAGTCTTTTTTTCCCATCTAGAAAGTAGACTAGGTAAAAACAACTTCCTGCTGGTAAGCACTTGCTTCTGCAAGTACCGTAATCAATATAGATTCTATATGATAGTGCATGCCATCATTATGCAGATCAACACAAAGCAATTGCTTTCCTGTGACCGTACCGGTACCGGTAGTAGAACAAAGTAAGGGCGTATTCATACGGCCTCCTATCAAGAAACCTCCTATCAAGATTGTACCTAATGCCTGGTAAAAGTAGCGAGAGATTATGGGTTTAGGGAATTTTCCAGTGAGAGCTTGATAGGAGGTTTTCTTGATAGGAGGATAGGAATATGCCCTAAGCATATGCGCCATTGAGTCTACCAACCGACATGTACAGAACTGATACATTTACCGGTCTTCTATTACAGCTTCCAAAAGCAAAACGGTTAACATTGTTACACTGCAATCCCCACATCACGTTACGTGGTATGCATTGTGCCCCCATCAATTTCAAACATCCCAAACATCAACCGCCGAACCTCCGGCTTGCCGTGCACGATATAAGCCGCCCCGTGAACAGCCTGAAACACCGCTCCTGAAACCAAATTCTGAAACTTTTTATTCGCGTAGAAATACTGCTTCGACTCCTCTGAAAGCTCCACGTGATCATGCAGGCCCGAGGCTCGGAGGTAGCGGCCGCAAGCTCGGTTCCGAAGCAGCGTGGTATGGCGGTCCGCAAGCCAGAGGATCGGCGCGTCGAGGTGTGACTGAAGGAGGTTCTCTGCCAATATCAGATCCTGGTTGCATAGAAGCACATTGGATACAAGCACAACAAATTTGAAACAACGAAAAAGATGAAGAAATCAGCCTCTCAATCCAAGAAACACATACGGTACAATACACAGAATGACAACAACCCTGATCCACAATGACAACAACCCTGATCCACAATGACCACAACCCTGATCCACAATGACCACAACCCTGATCCACAACGACCACAACCCTGATCCACAATGACCACAACCCTGATCCACAATGACCACAACCCTGATCCACAATGACCACAACCCTGATCCACAATGACCACAACCCTGATCCACAATGACCACAACCCTGATCCACAATGACAACAACCCTGATCCACAATGACCACAACCCTAAGATGTTATAGAGACTGATCCACCTTCCAGTCGTCAAGACAGTTGGAGATATCACACTAGCATGGCACCTTCACGCAGACCCCAGTAATTCCTAAGCCCCTCACCTGCTGTGCCCTGACAAACCTCGCCCCTCACCTGGTGTGCCCTGACAAACCTCGCCCCTCACCTGCTGTGCCCTGACAAAATTCGCCCCTCACCTGAATCTTCTGCCCCAGGTACTCAAGCCGGTCGTAGCAGAAGCGGGGATGCTCCCCACGGTAGAGAGAGGGGTGCAGGAAGCACAGCTGGGAGGACAGTCGGGTAGGTTAGTTGGCGGGGAGGAGGGGAAAGCATGAGGGTTGGGATAGTGAGTGTCAACAGAAGCAGCAGCACTGGTGCCCCCCATGGTACAGATATCGGCATGCGTGCATCACCACAATCAGTCAGAGACACCAGCACAGCCTCACTCCCATCCCCCCTCACCTGCAGGGCCATCACCATGTCTTCATTCCGCCGCTGCTCCACCTCCAAGCTCATCCCTGCCTCTGCCACTCTGGGCCACGCCAGCGCCTTCAGGGCTGCTTCCAGGGACCCTTGTATCCAATCAGAGCCACCCTGTCCCCAACCACCCTCACCTGCAAAGCTATCACCATGTATTCGTTCCGTCTCTACTTCGCCTCCAAGCTCATTCCCGCTTCAGCCGGTCTCGGCCACGCCAGCACAATCGGTGCATCCGGAGGCACTATGCCCAGTCCATGCAATCAGAGCCACCCTGTCCCCAACCACCCTCTCACCTGCAGGGCCATCACCATGTCTTCATTCCGTCTCTGCTTCGCCTCCAAGCCCATCCCTGCCTCTGCTGGTCTGGGCCACGCCAGCGCCCTCAGGGCTGCCTCAAAGGATCGAAGCAAATCAACACTGCCATGCTGTCCTCAAACTCATCCACTCTCACCTGCAGGGCCATCACCATGTCTTCATTGCGTCGCTGCTTCGCCTCCAAGCCCATCCCTGCCTCTGCTGGCGCCCTCAGTGCCGCCTCCAGGGATCGGTGCATCCAATCGGGGGCCCCATACCCAGTCCGTGCAATCGGAGCCACCCTGTCCCAACCACTCTCACCTGCAGGGCCATCACCATGTCTTCATTGCGTCGCTGCTTCGCCTCCAAGCTCATCCCTGCTTCAGCCGGTCTCGGCCACGCCAGCGCTCTCAGTGCCGCTTTAAGGGACCCGTGCATCCAAACAAAGGCCCCAGTGACCATTCCCATTCCCTTCCCCATCACCTTATCATCCCACTCTCACCTGCAGGGCCATCACCATGTCTTCATTCCGCCGCTGCTTCGCCTCCAAGCTCATGCCAGCCTCGGCTGGTCTCGGCCAAGCCAGCGCCCTCAGGGCCGCCTCCAGGGATCGGTGCATCCAATCAGAGCCGCGGAACCGGGACATTCCGGGCGGCACGCACGCGTGGAAGAGACGAGGGTTGGGGAAGAGGGAATCTGGTGGGGACTGGAAGGGGAAGGTGGGAGAGGAGCAAGGGTGGGGAGGAGAGAGGGGGAAGGAAGGGAAAGGGCGAAGGTGAGGATTCAAATTGTACAGTACCTAAAATATTGTAGAGGTGACTTATGAGTCGACTCAAAAGTCAAATATTGGGAAGCTCACAAAGTGTAAATAAGCAGCTCATGAGTCCCAGGCACACAAACACCCATTCACCAACCCACTCATGCATTCACCCACCCACCCACCCACTCATCCACCCTCCTCGCCCACCCACCCACTCACTCCTCGCACGCCCCCCCTCCACACACCTGGTAGCATGCCACGTCGCGCCACGTCAGCGGGTCGCCGTCCAGGTCAGCGTGCAGGAAATCCTCGTCACGCACGCGCTCGATCTTGGGGCGCATCTCGGGATGGTCTGGGTCCAAACCGAACACCTCAAACAGCAGCCGATACACCTCCGGCATGCCGCGAGTGAGGTAAGCTGATGCAATGAGGGAGGTGAAGACACTCCTGGGGGGTGGGCGGACAGAGGTGAATGGTACGGCACAGCGCGTCAGTGGCCGCATCTCAGGATGGTGGGGGTCCAGCCCAAACACGTCAAACAGCAGCCGATACACCTCCGGCATGGCGCGAGTGAGAAAGGCGAGGCAATGAGCGAGTGAGAAAGGCGAGGCAATGAGCGAGTGAGAAAGGCGAGGCAATGAGCGAGTGAGAAAGGCGAGGCAATGAGCGAGTGAGAAAGGCGAGGCAATGGGCGAGTGAGAAAGGCGAGGCAATGAGCGAGTGAGAAAGGCGAGGCAATGAGCGAGTGAGAAAGGCGAGGCAATGAGCGAGTGAGAAAGGCGAGGCAATGAGCGAGTGAGAAAGGCGAGGCAATGAGCGAGTGAGAAAGGCGAGGCAATGAGCGAGTGAGAAAGGCGAGGCAATGAGCGAGTGAGAAAGGCGAGGCAATGGGCGAGTGAGAAAGGCGAGGCAATGAGCGAGTGAGAAAGGCGAGGCAATGGGCGAGTGAGAAAGGCGAGGCAATGAGCGAGTGAGAAAGGCGAGGCAATGAGCGAGTGAGAAAGGCGAGGCAATGAGCGAGTGAGAAAGGCGAGGCAATGAGCGAGTGAGAAAGGCGAGGCAATGAGCGAGTGAGAAAGGCGAGGCAATGAGCGAGTGAGAAAGGCGAGGCAATGAGCGAGTGAGAAAGGCGAGGCAATGGGCGAGTGAGAAAGGCGAGGCAATGGGCGAGTGAGAAAGGCGAGGCAATGAGCGAGTGAGAAAGGCGAGGCAATGAGCGAGTGAGAAAGGCGAGGCAACGAGCGAGTGAGAAAGGCGAGGCAATGAGCGAGTGAGAAAGGCGAGGCAATGAGCAAGTGAGAAAGGCGAGGCAATGAGCGAAGTAAACACACTCCTGCAGGCCAAATAGGGGGGTGGGTGGGTGGGTGGGTGGGTGGGTGGGTGGTTGAGCGAATGATCTTGGGGCACATCTCGGGATGGTCTCGGGATGTCTGGAAAATTGCTCAGTAGAACTCATCTCGGGATGGTCTGGGTCCAAACCGAACACCTCAAACAGCAGCCTGTATACTTCTGGCATGCCCCGTGTGAGGTATGCCGAGGTGATTAGGGACGTGAAGACACTCCTGGGGGGTGGGCAGAGGTGAATGGTACGGCACAGCGCGTCAGTGGCCGCATCTCAGGATGGTCAGGGTCCAAACCAAACACCTCACTCACTCACTTGCCGCCTCACTCACTCACTTGCCGCCTCACTCACTCACTCACTCACTCACTCACTTGTCACCTCACTCACTCACTCGCCACCTCACTCACTCACTTGCCACCTCACTCACTCACTTGGCGGCTAGCTGCCTGAGGTTGGTGGGGGCGCGCATGAGCAAGGCACCGGGGAACACCAGGCGGTCCAACCTAGCACTGCCTTAAAGCCCGACGTGACTGGAGACAATTCCAACCAGTGAATTCACTTGGCAGCGAGCTGGCACAGGTTGGTTGGAGCGCGCAAGAGCAGAGCGCCGGGGAACACCAGCCGGTCCAACCTGGCCTGAGTGAGCAGCACGTGCCTTGAAGCCCAAAGTGACAAGTCCACTCACTTGGCAGCAAGCTGCCTGAGGTTGGTGGGGGCGCGCATGAGCAGAGCACCCGGAAACACCAGGCGGTCCAGCCCGGCCTGAGTGAGCAGCAGCGGGAAGCGGCGCTTGTTGCCTAGCTCCCTTGCCCTCTCTCTCAACGAGGCAACCGGCTCCCTGGGGTAGCACTGGGAGGGTAAGGGGAATGCAGGGACGAGAGAGAGAGGAGCAGTAAGCGACCAGAGCAGCGAGCAGCAGAGGGAACCGACGCTTGTTGCCTAGCTCCCTTGCCCTCTCTCTCAACGAGGCAACCGGCTCCCTGGGGTAGAACTGGGAGAGTAAGAGAAACACAAGGAGAAAGGGAGGGGTAGCAGTAAGAGACGAGAGCAGTGAGCAGCAGAGCAGAGGACGGCGGCGCTTGTTGCCCAGCTCCCTGGCCCGCTCCCTCAGTGAAGCTACTGGCTTGCGGGGGTAGCACCGTGGGCAAGGCAACACGAGGAGGGAAGAAGGATCAGTAAGAGATGAGAGGTAAGCCAGCTCCCTGGCTTTTGAGGCTCCTCAAAACGAAGCGGCGCTTGTTGGCCAGCTCCCTGACCCTCTTCCTTAATGATGCTACTGGCTCGCGCGGGTAGTTTTGAGGCGCCTCAAAACTAGATTGTGACTTTTGAGTCGACTCAAAAGTCACCTCAAAACTAGATTGTTGGTCAGCTCCCTGGCCCTCGGTGCTACTGGCTCGCGCGGGTAGCACTGAGTTCAATGGAGACACAAAGAGGGCCAAGGCACAGACGGAGAGTGGGAAAGTGGGCGAGCAGCAGTGGGAAGCGGCGCTTGTTGTCCAGCTCCCTGGCGCTCCCTGAGTGATGCTACTGGCTCCCTGAGTGATGCTACTGACTCCCTGAGTGATGCCACTGGCTCCCTGAGTGATGCTACTGGCTCCCTGAGTGATGCCACTGGCTCCCTGAGTGATGCTACTGACTCCCTGAGTGATGCTACTGGCTCCCTGAGTGATGCTACTGACTCCCTGAGTGATGCTACTGGCTCCCTGAGTGATGCTACTGACTCCCTGAGTGATGCTACTGACTCCCTGAGTGATGCTACTGACTCCCTGAGTGATGCTACTGACTCCCTGAGTGATGCTACTGACTCCCTGAGTGATGCTACTGACTCCCTGAGTGATGCTACTGACTCCCTGAGTGATGCTACTGGCTCCCTGAGTGATGCTACTGACTCCCTGAGTGATGCTACTGACTCCCTGAGTGATGCTACTGACTCCCTGAGTGATGCTACTGACTCCCTGAGTGATGCTACTGACTCCCTGAGTGATGCTACTGGCTCCCTGAGTGATGCTACTGACTCCCTGAGTGATGCTACTGACTCCCTGAGTGATGCTACTGGCTCCCTGAGTGATGCTACTGACTCCCTGAGTGATGCTACTGACTCCCTGAGTGATGCTACTGACTCCCTGAGTGATGCTACTGACTCCCTGAGTGATGCTACTGACTCCCTGAGTGATGCTACTGACTCCCTGAGTGATGCTACTGACTCCCTGAGTGATGCTACTGACTCCCTGAGTGATGCTACTGACTCCCTGAGTGATGCTACTGACTCCCTGAGTGATGCTACTGACTCCCTGAGTGATGCTACTGACTCCCTGAGTGATGCTACTGACTCCCTGAGTGATGCTACTGACTCCCTGAGTGATGCTACTGACTCCCTGAGTGATGCTACTGACTCCCTGAGTGATGCTACTGACTCCCTGAGTGATGCTACTGACTCCCTGAGTGATGCTACTGACTCCCTGAGTGATGCTACTGACTCCCTGAGTGATGCTACTGACTCCCTGAGTGATGCTACTGACTCCCTGAGTGATGCTACTGACTCCCTGAGTGATGCTACTGACTCCCTGAGTGATGCTACTGACTCCCTGAGTGATGCTACTGGCTCCCTGAGTGATGCTACTGGCTCCCTGAGTGATGCTACTGACTCCCTGAGTGATGCTACTGACTCCCTGAGTGATGCTACTGACTCCCTGAGTGATGCTACTGACTCCCTGAGTGATGCTACTGACTCCCTGAGTGATGCTACTGACTCCCTGAGTGATGCTACTGACTCCCTGAGTGATGCTACTGACTCCCTGAGTGATGCTACTGACTCCCTGAGTGATGCTACTGACTCCCTGAGTGATGCTACTGACTCCCTGAGTGATGCTACTGACTCCCTGAGTGATGCTACTGACTCCCTGAGTGATGCTACTGACTCCCTGAGTGATGCTACTGACTCCCTGAGTGATGCTACTGACTCCCTGAGTGATGCTACTGACTCCCTGAGTGATGCTACTGACTCCCTGAGTGATGCTACTGACTCCCTGAGTGATGCTACTGACTCCCTGAGTGATGCTACTGACTCCCTGAGTGATGCTACTGACTCCCTGAGTGATGCTACTGACTCCCTGAGTGATGCTACTGACTCCCTGAGTGATGCTACTGACTCCCTGAGTGATGCTACTGACTCCCTGAGTGATGCTACTGACTCCCTGAGTGATGCTACTGACTCCCTGAGTGATGCTACTGACTCCCTGAGTGATGCTACTGACTCCCTGAGTGATGCTACTGACTCCCTGAGTGATGCTACTGGCTCCCTGAGTGATGCTACTGACTCCCTGAGTGATGCTACTGACTCCCTGAGTGATGCTACTGACTCCCTGAGTGATGCTACTGACTCCCTGAGTGATGCTACTGGCTCCCTGAGTGATGCTACTGACTCCCTGAGTGATGCTACTGACTCCCTGAGTGATGCTACTGACTCCCTGAGTGATGCTACTGACTCCCTGAGTGATGCTACTGACTCCCTGAGTGATGCTACTGACTCCCTGAGTGATGCTACTGACTCCCTGAGTGATGCTACTGACTCCCTGAGTGATGCTACTGACTCCCTGAGTGATGCTACTGACTCCCTGAGTGATGCTACTGACTCCCTGAGTGATGCTACTGACTCCCTGAGTGATGCTACTGGCTCCCTGAGTGATGCTACTGACTCCCTGAGTGATGCTACTGGCTCCCTGAGTGATGCTACTGACTCCCTGAGTGATGCTACTGGCTCCCTGAGTGATGCTACTGACTCCCTGAGTGATGCTACTGACTCCCTGAGTGATGCTACTGACTCCCTGAGTGATGCTACTGACTCCCTGAGTGATGCTACTGACTCCCTGAGTGATGCTACTGACTCCCTGAGTGATGCTACTGACTCCCTGAGTGATGCTACTGACTCCCTGAGTGATGCTACTGACTCCCTGAGTGATGCTACTGACTCCCTGAGTGATGCTACTGACTCCCTGAGTGATGCTACTGACTCCCTGAGTGATGCTACTGACTCCCTGAGTGATGCTACTGACTCCCTGAGTGATGCTACTGACTCCCTGAGTGATGCTACTGACTCCCTGAGTGATGCTACTGACTCCCTGAGTGATGCTACTGACTCCCTGAGTGATGCTACTGACTCCCTGAGTGATGCTACTGGCTCCCTGAGTGATGCTACTGACTCCCTGAGTGATGCTACTGACTCCCTGAGTGATGCTACTGACTCCCTGAGTGATGCTACTGACTCCCTGAGTGATGCTACTGACTCCCTGAGTGATGCTACTGACTCCCTGAGTGATGCTACTGACTCCCTGAGTGATGCTACTGGCTCCCTGGGGTAGCGCACTCGGAAATTGTGGGGAAAGAATGCGGTTACATGCAGCAGCATCTCAGCAAGAGCCAGCTCCAGCACGAACCCTCCCTTGCTGCCTACTGGTCCCAGCAATTCATCCCTTAAGTAGGCATAACCACAGCGCCAGCAACACTACGACCATCACCATCGCACCTGCAGCAGCAGTGTTTTGAGACGTCTCAAATCACCATCGCACCTGCAGCAGCATTTCAGCAAGAGCCAGCTCCAGCACGAATCCTCGCTCACCGCACCGCACCGCCTGGTGTGTGTGTGACACCAGGCACCATCTCACCTGCAAGCATCTCACCAGCACCACTACCGCCACGCCACCACAACCATCTCAGGCTGAGCCACCTCCTCCAACATGCATGCAATTTGGGAATCACTTGTGAGAATTCTCCATCACTTTTGAGAAAGTGGCACCCGTCAGCTCCATTCTCTCACCACCACCACCATCATATATTTTTTTTTTTTCGAGTCGATTCAAAAATCCGCGTGTAGTAAGTTGATTTTTTAGTCGACTAAAAAATCGGCCAGCTCCGACACGCCCGCACCTGCCAGCTCCATTCTCTCACCACCATCATCAAAGCTCACCTGCAGCAGCATCTCAGCAAGAGCCAGCTCCGACACAAAGGGCCCCCATCCATCACACGTGGCAGCAACATTCCTGTACCATCCATCACACGTGGCAGCAACATTCCTGTACCATCCATCACACGTGGCAGCAACATTCCTGTACCATCCATCACACGTGGCAGCAACATTCCTGTACCATCCATCACACGTGGCAGCAACATTCCTGTACCATCCATCACACGTGGCAGCAACATTCCTGTACCATCCATCACACGTGGCAGCAACATTCCTGTACCATCCATCACACGTGGCAGCAACATTCCTGTACCATCCATCACACGTGGCAGCAACATTCCTGTACCATGCATGCATACGCTCTCATCTGTAGCGCCATTCTCACACCTGCACCATCACCCTTCCCTCACCTGCAGCAGCATTTCAGCCAGAGCCAGCTCCAGCACGAACCCTCCCGTGCCTGTGGCACTATCTGTGGAACAAAAGCACCAACTCACATGCACGCACACCACCACCATCAGCACCACCACCACCCTTCCCTCACCTGCAGCAGCATCTCAGCCAGAGCCAGCTCCAGCACAAACCCGCCCATGCCGCCTGTGGGACCAAGCACCATCTCACCTGCATGCACCACTGCCATCACCATCCTTAAAGCCAGGGTCTCATGTATGGGTTGGCCGTGCAACTGCAAAGCACTTGGTCACTTGAGACCCTGGCTTTAACGCACCTGCAGCAGCATCTCAGCCAGAGCCAGCTCCAGCACAAACCCGCCCAGAAACGAAAGTCGCGACCCCGCCACCTTGAGAAACCGTGACTTGTCAGGTTGGTCCCTGAGGGTGTGGAGCGGTAATGCGGTGCAGCGTGGTGTCGTGCGGTTTGATTAGGCGTGATTAGATGTGGTGTGGTGTGGGGAAAAAGGGAGAGAAAACACGTTCAGCACATATCCGGAAAAAAAAAACGCCAGCACAAATCCTGAGGGGGGGGATCTAATTGGGATGCACAGGTGGTAATGGGTTGTGAGGGATGGGGCGGGTTAGTGGGTTTTTGGGAAGAAGTAGAGAGGGGGGAGCATGAGACGACAGGGGGGGGAAAGGGTGGTGAGAAGAACAAGGGGTGAAGCCCGGTGCCCCACATCCTGAGCCATGAATACTCCTGATTGCATCAACTTTTGAGAAGTCTCAAAAGTGACTCTCAAAATAAGTCTCAAAAGAATTCTCAGAAGATTATCTCAGAAGTCATTCTGAGCCATGAATATCCTTGATTGCATCAACGCCTACCGGCATATGTGCATGCAGTGACACGTGCATGCCCAAGCTAATATGCACTCACCATACATGTGACACTCACTCACCCATCTGCATACACCTGCATGCCATGTGGCATTCACCTGTGGATATCTTACACGTGGCACCCACCTGTGCATATACGAGAGGTATAGGAGCTCGTCTAGCTTGCTGGCAGGGTTGAACGAATCCTCTTCTGCCACGTGGATATCCTCCTCTCCTCCCACCTCCCCAGTCCCAGCACCCCTCCCTTCCCCCAACCCATAACCTCTCCTGCCTAATTCTTGACTCGATTCACCCACGCTGCTATCTCCTACCACTGCTGCTGCTGCTGCTGCTGCTGCTGCTGCTGCTGCCGTTTCTGCTCCTGTCGTTGCTGCTGCTGCTGCCGTTTCTGCTCCTGTCGTTGCTGCTGCTGCTGCCGTTTCTGCTCCTGTCGTTGCTGCTGCTGCCACTGACTCTCCTCCTGCCCTTCCTGCTGCTGGCTCTCTTCTCACAGCACTGCCATCCCCCCTATTATCAGCTCCGCTTCTGACCTCGACTTTGCCTCTCCTTTCATCTCTCCATTCCCCCTCATTTCCCCACTCCTCCCCCTCCCCCTCCCCTTCCTCATATTCATCATCCTCTCCATATTCCCATTCCCCCTCTTCCCCTTCCCCTTCCTCTTCCCCCTCTTCCCCAGAGCCAAACCCTGAACCCTCTCCCACTGTCTCCCACCAATCCCCCTCTTCTGCCATCAAAAGCCCTAAACCCTCCTTAATCTCATCCCCATTCGCCCAGATCCATTCCCGATCCTCCCGCGCTAACGGCAACGGGGACAGACACGCGCTAAGCAGCGGCCAGCCCGCCGCGTTTCCCGCCGCTAGTTGTGGGCTCTGCAGCAGGCGTGACGTCAGCTCGTCCTGGCTCAGCTGCCGCCCGCCGCGCCGCCCGCGGCGGTAGAGATTCGTCCGGTGGATGCCGCCCGGGCGCTTCTGCAAGCGGCGCATGTGCGCGGGGGAAACCTTCCGCCGAACCACGCGCGGGGCCGCTTTGCTGCGCCCGGCGGCGGAAATGAGGAGCCGGCGGGGTCGCGGAGTCAGGGGCTGGCGGAGGCTGGGGGAGGCATGGCGCTGGGGGAACAGACCCTTGGCGGAAAGATGCGGGAAACAGGGGGTAAAAAAGCGGGAATAGGCGGAAGAGAGGGAAGCGGAGGAGGCGCAAGAGGTTTTAAGCGGGTACGGGGCTGGTCGCGATTGTGACAGTATCGAGCAGGCTAGCGTCGAGGGAGGACGTGATTGTATCGAGAGTTGTGAGGGCGACAGTACTGAAGAATGTGGAAACGCGGGACTGTCGGATATTGAAGCGCGGATCCCGCGCATTGCTGCGCCTGAGGAGGGCAATGCGAAACACGAGGTTACCGCCATTCGCCTTCTCCTTTCGTTCGCATGTGACAAGCACGAACGAGATCACTTCTGGGAAAAAAAGGACTTACCAATCGTCTAACTGTCGGATTGTAGTGACAAAAAGGATCTGAACAACACAAAGCCATCATCATTCATTTGGAGCGTTTCCCAAGTGTAGTTTCAACCTCGTCTCGTTTTCAGCAACAAAAGGTTTCCACTTCACTGACACTCGACTCGACCCGTTTGGCACGCCACGCTACACTCGTACGTATCGTACCGAGGATGGAACGCTAAAAGCAGCCTGGCCTGGAATACCCCAGCAGGAAAGCGAAGGGCCTGGCTGCATTTTCGTGGACGGGCTTCCTTCGCTGAACTCGATAAGTGATCGCAAAGTTTTCGCAAAGGCGTTACTTTCGCCACAAACAGCTGCGCAGAAGTTCCACGCTTTTCTCCTGTTGAATTCGAAACTGGGGATGTTTTTCCAGCTAAATTACGCCAAACGGACATTTCGAGGAAAAGATTCGTCCGTACAACTCGGCTTGCAAGGCAAAAGCTATCGTTCTATTTCTTGTCACAAGGACACTTCTCATAACGCTTTTCAGCCCGTCAATCTATTCCCATACTGAGGGCGAGCCGCGGCTTGCAATTACTCACGTCAGCACTCATGCGTAGGTCACTAGGAACCTCGCATTCGAACGCGCCGCGAGCCGGCGATAGCAGCAATAGCAGCTTCGTGCGACTTTACATAGACTCGCTCAGCCTGCCGACTCGAGGATTCCTCTTAACGGTCGCGATTCTAGTAACCGCGCTGGTCCTCTTAGTCGCGCGCCGTGACGCCTCGCTGTCCGACGCCTCCTCCTCGTCCTTCTCCGCAAACCGCGCCGTTAATTCCGGCGGCGACCCCGCGGAGATGGCGGCGCGTCCTGCGGAGGTCCTAGTGGAGGAGAGGGAAACGGTGGTGAATCTGCCGCCAGAAATCACGGAGGAGGAGGGGCGGCAGCGCGTGACGCTGCGGTTCCTGGAAGGTTCCAGGAAGCCCGGGACGGGAGGAGGTGGAGGAGGGGAGGGTGCGGGTGGGGGAGCCTCGGGAATGACGGTGGTTCTGCTGCATGGGCGATCGTTTGAAGCCAAGACGTGGAAAGACATTGGTAAGGCTGCATGGAACGTAGTGCCTACTCCCCTTCCTCCATCATAGAAAGAACCCTCGGGAATGACGGTGGTTCTGCTGCATGGGAGGTCGTTCGAAGCCAAGACTTGAAAGACATCGGTAGGGCCGCATGAAATGTGTTGCCAAATCCCTTGCCATAGAAAGAAACCCCTCGGGAATGACGGTGGTGCTGCTGCATGGGAGATTGTTCGAAGCCAAGACTTGGAAAGACATTGGTAAGGCCGCATGGAATATTGTGCCTTTTTTCCATGCGGCCTTACCAATGTCTTTTTTCCATGACAAGGGTCCCGTGGGATGGTGGCGGTGCAACGTGCACCCACTCCGCCCCGCTCCCCACCCCACCTCCCCTCCCCCCTCCCCACCCCACCTCCCCTCTCCCCTCCCCTCCCCCCCTCCCCTCCCCCCCTCCCCTCCCCCCTCACCGAACATAACTTCTCCCCTCTCCCGCCCCGCCGCGTTTGTCACTTCGCACACAGTCACCAGCGACCTTGTAGCAGAGAGTGATTGCGACCTTGTAGCAGAGAGTGATTGCGACCTTGTGGCAGAGAGTGATTGCGACCTTGTAGCAGAGAGTGATTGCGACCTTGTAGCAGAGAGTGATTGCGACCTTGTAGCAGAGAGTGATTGCGACCTTGTGGCAGAGAGTGACTGCGACCTTGTAGCAGAGAGTGATTGCGACCTTGTAGCAGAGAGTGATTGCGACCTTGTAGCAGAGAGTGATTGCGACCTTGTAGCAGAGAGTGATTGCGACCTTGTAGCAGAGAGTGATTGCGACCTTGTAGCAGAGAGTGATTGCGACCTTGTAGCAGCAGGCTGACACAGCGTGAATGCCAGCCCACCCATTGCCTCTCCTCCCTCTTCTCTTTTACCCCGTACCTCATGCGTGTCTGACCCGTGCAGGCACCATCGAGCATCTGGCAGCAGCAGGGCACAGAGTCATTGCCGTTGACTTGCCAGGTGAGTTGACTGGCGTTGACTTGCCAGGTGAGTTGACTGGCGTTGACTTGCCAGGTGAGTTGACTGGCGTTGACTTGCCAGGTGAGTTGACTGGCGTTGACTTGCCAGGTGAGTTGACTGGCGTTGACTTGCCAGGTGAGTTGACTGGCGTTGACTTGCCATGTGAGTTGACTGCTGTTGACTTGAACTCGTCGTCGTTGGCTGGATTTGACTAGTGTTGACTATGCCTTCTGGTGCTGCTTACATGCCCCCAATGCCCCATGCCCCCACGCCCCCATGCTCGTTTGCTCATATGCTCGTATGCCCACACCAGGCGGCAAGGGCCGCACCAAGGACACTCTCTCCACGCGAGCAGCGCACGAGGGCTTTATTGCTGTGGTGAGTACGTGGGTGGATGTATGGTGTGTGTATAAATGTGTGTAGATGTGTGCAGTGTGCCCACCCCCCTTTCGCCATCACACAGGGGAGAGGGGATGGGAGGGGGACGAGGAGAGGGAGGAGCAGGAGGAGTAGAGGCAGCGGCAACAAGGTTGAGAAGAAGTGGAAGAAGAAAAAAAAAGTAAGAAGAGGAGAGAAGAAAAGGATCAGTGAAGGCAGAATGGGAGGAAAAGGGAGAGAAGTTTGAATGCAAGGGTAGAACAGGTTGGTTCCCGAAACAAAGTGGAGGGAAACTGGGTCACGACAAGAGCGAGCTCGTGCCAGGTGTGCATCCTTTCGGAAGTGAGATCATCTGCGGGGTTTATGCAGGCACGAGAATAAGAAGAAAGAAAAAAACGTTTTTTTCTGGGGAAAGTAGGGGGCACTTCGGAAACTACGAGGTGGAGGGATGCTTGGCAGGGTAAGCGTCCGAACTTGCACATTTCCTGCTGGGCCATGATTTCCCGTTAACTCTCAAGTACATCACACGCAAGCAATTTATGTTTGCTCTTGATAGTTGGGTGTGAAATGGAAAAATTCTGCAGAGTGGCATGCATTTGTGATATATATTTCAGTTTTGTAAACAACATGAAAGGCAACGATAGTTTCTATACAAATGACACATTAATACAAAGTATCATCCTCTTTCATAGCCTCCATACCATCGGTACATTGTTTCTTCTTACGGTACAAAAGAGAATGAACAATAGAACTACCCCAGTCCCATATCCCCCACACTACGTCCTCCACTAGACCCATTTCGTACTTATAAAAATCTTGAAATCATGGCATGTCACTCTGCAGATTTTTTCCGATTTTCACAACCACCTAGTCATCGCACATAAATTGCTTACGTGTGATGTACTTGAGAGCTAACGGGAAGTCATGGCCCAGCAGGAGATGTGCAAGTTCGGACGCTTGTCCTACCAAACCCCCCTCCACCTCGTAGTTTTCGAAGTCCCCCCTCATTTTTCCAGAAAAATCGTTTTTTTTCTTCTTCTTACTCTCTTGCCTGCATAAACCTCACAGGCGATCTCACTTCCGAAAGGCTGCACACCTGGCACGAGCTCGCTCTTGTCATGACACAGTTTCCCTCCACTTTGTTTCGGGAACCAACCTGTTCTACCCTTGTATTCAAACTTCTCTATCTTTTCCTCCCAGTCTGCCTTTACTGTTTCTTTTATCTCTCCTCTTCCTACTTTTTTTTTCTCTTCCACTTCTTCCACTCCTCCTCAACCTTGTTGCCCCTCCCTCTACTCCTCCTGCTCCTACCTCTCCTCATCCCCCTCCCCTCTCCCCTCGTCCCCCTCCCCTCTCCCCGCATGTATGACGTGTGTGCAGGTGAGTGAAGGTTTGCACAGGTGTGAAAGACACCCTCTTTACCTGAGCCGTGCATGAAGGCTCAACACACGGAGGGTCCCTGTTAAAAAAACTATGTGCTCTTTCTTTAGGTTGTTTTTGAGAGTTCTCAAAAACAACCCAGAGGGTCCCTGTTTAGAAACAGTACGCACTGACGCCACTTTTTTCTGGTATCTTATCTTAATCTTAAATGTATGCAGCTCGCTCGCTCCAGCCCATACTCAACCCATGATGCCAACCCAACCTTTGTGTGTTCCACTCCTGCTCTGGCAGCATTCTTAGCTGTCCCCGTCTCGCCGTCTCTCAGCAGCCGCTACAGCCCGCAGTTTGTAACGCAGCAGAGCTCAGTCCGTTTCTCCCATCCTCTACCCCCACTTCCTTTTTTGCCCTGGTTATCGTCCAACCCAACCCTTCTATTCCAGCTGTGGCTGCATTTTGAGCTCACCAACCGATCGGTCCTTGTGTCGCCGTCTCTCAGCGGACGCTACAGCCTGCCGTTTGTAGCGCAGCAGAGCCAGCTGAAGACCGGGCGGCAGGCCACGGGCGGGCGGCAACTGGGCGGCTATGTGCCGGTGGCGCCTGTGATGGTGGACTCGTATAGTGACAAGATAGCAGGCAGCCAGGTGTGTGTGCGCGCAATGAGCTGATGAGCCAAACACGCTTGTTGATCTGCCTTTTGATAGCCAGCGGTTTGTACAGGCGGCTATGTGCCGGTGGCGCCTGTGATGGTGGACTCGTATAGTGACAAGATAGCAGGCAACCAGGTGTGTGTGCGTGACAAGCTATTGAACAGCCAATCTACAGTGCCGGTGAATTTTGCAATGCACACCTGCTCTCCTGCTCTGAAATGTCCTCTAAGAAATCCATCTATTCACGTCAGTGTTGAAAGAAAAACCTCTTACTGTGCCCTCCTTGGGTTGCTACCCAATGCCCACGGGGTCCCTTCCTTTTTCCCCTCTATTTTTTTGCTACCCCCAGGTGCCAGCGTTGGTGGTGAATGGTGGTGAACGGTGCAGACTGGTACAACGCCCACTGGGCTCCTTCCTCTTGTCTCTTTAGTACTGTGCTTCTCACAGGTGCCAGCACTGGTGGTGAACGGTGCAGAGTGGTACAACACCCACTGGTTCCCTTTCTCTTGTCTCTTTATTACTGTGCTTCTCACAGGTGCCAGCACTGGTGGTGAACGGTGCAGAGTGGTACAACACCCACTGGTTCCCTTTCTCTTGTCTCTTTATTACTGTGCTTCTCACAGGTGCCAGCACTGGTGGTGAACGGTGCAGAGTGGTACAACACCCACTGGTTCCCTTTCTCTTGTCTCTTTATTACTGTGCTTCTCACAGGTGCCAGCGTTGGTGGTGAATGGGGAGAGGGATCACCCCGACAGGGCGCAGCACCTTGCAAGCCTCTTTCTCAACCACAAGCTGGTACGGCTGGAATTGTCTTCTACTGGTCGATTCTTAAAAACTTCCAAACGTTTCAAAGCAGTGGGACTACATGGAGCATCCTGCTTACAGTACCGTATCCGGAGAAATGAAATTGTTTGATGTGTGTTGTCGCGCCTTTTCCTTACCTTCATCTCACGGGTGATGTTCAAAGGAGCAGGCCATGCATGCTATGTGGAGCATCCTGAGCACTCCAACAGCCTTTAGGGGCAATTTGTGCAACAATCGACCGTCCCAACCGGATGGAATTTACCTCTGTATGTATTCTCCCCTGCAATAATCTCAGGTGATTTTTAAAGGGGCGGGCCACGCATGCTACATGGAGCAGCCTGATTACTTCAACAGCCTTGTGCTGCAATTCGTGCAACAGTTGACTGTCCCAACCGAATTTCAGTAGTTCTGAGCTGAGAGCCGAACGACGCTGAACATTTGAAGTATTTAGTGCCAGTAAGCAATTTTTTGCTTTCCGGCATTTTGTGGGGGGTGGGAAAAGTGGGGGGGGGGGGGGGGGGGGGGGGGGGGGGGGGGGGGTGAGGAGATTGCAACAAGTATATTTCATGAGCCTTGTATTTAAGGAGGGATAGGTGGATGAACAGGGAGCTTATACGGAGTCGTACTGTGAACCATTTGTAGGCCTAAATTGAGAAAGCTTGCTTTCTTTTTCTTATCAATTGGCATCGTTCTCATTACAAATGGTTTATTACAACATTTGCATCAACGTTGAACACAAGCTAGTACAATCGAATAACACTAGCTAAGTGTCAAACATTATAGCTTGTGGTGGGTTGGGCTATATGGGGTACAACTAGTTAGGGTTAGGTTATGTACCCCAATTCTATCAATACAACGCATTCCGCTGTAGTTCTCATTTTGACATGGTATCAGCAGTAGGTTAGCGCTCCTAGTCCTAGGTCCGCCCTTCCCTACCACTAGGGTTACCACTGCGCCCTGCCAGCCCGCCAGCGCCCTACCCCACGCCCCAGCCGGCGCGCCCCTCCCCTCCCCGCCCTTAGCCAGCGCGCCCGCCAGCCAGCCAGCGCGCCAGCAGCCTGCGCGCCAGCCAGCCAGCCAGCGCGCCAGCCAGCCAGCGCGCCAGCCAGCCAGCGCGCCAGCCCGCCAGCGCGCCAGCCAGCCAGCCAGCGCGCCAGCCAGCCAGCGCGCCAGCAGCCAACGCGCCAGCCAGCCAGCGCGCCAGCAGCCTGCGCGCCAGCCAGCTAGCCAGCGCGCCAGCCAGCCAGCGCGCCAGCAGCCAGCGCGCCAGCCCGCTTTCACGCCAGCCCGCCAGCGCGCCCGCCAGCGGGCGCACCAGCAAGCCCGCCGGCTCGCCTGCCAGCGCGCCCGCCAGCGAGCACGCCAGCGCGCCCGCCAGCACGCACGCCAGCGCGCCCGCTAGCGCGCCCGCCAGCGCGCCACGCCAGCGGGCCCCGCCAGCGCGCACGCCAGCGCGCCGCGCCCGCCAGCGCGCGCCCTGCTTAGCCGCCCGCCAGCGCGCCGCGCCCCGCGCGCCACGCCAGCCAGCGCGCTGCGCCGGAGCGCGCCCCGCCAGCGCGCGCCCCGCCGCCCCGCGCCCAGCCAGTGCGCGCCCCGCCTGCGCGCACCCGCCTCGCACTCACCTCCCTCTCCTCCTCCTCTCGCGGCTGGCGGCCGCTATCACTTGTCCTCGCCCCTCATGGCGACGTCTCGCGTGCTCCGTTTCGACCCTGAGGGGCGTGCGATCCACTTTAGTACCTGGCTGACGCAGGCCCAGCGCCACCTTAGGAGCCAGCGCCAGGATGGCGTGCACCTGTTTGCGCATGCGTCCGGTACTCTGCCCGCCCCGCCGCAGCCTTCACCGCTGCCCACTTCCCCACCGCCTACTTCCGAGCAGGAGGCTGAGTACCAGCGCCGGTTCCTCGCTCGTGACGTGTGGGAGTCTCGTGACGCTGCTGCCTGCCTCGCCCTGACCGACCTTCTCCCGCCAACTGAGGCTGTCCACTTCACTCAGGTCGAGTCTGCTGCAGACCTTTACACTGCTATTGTTGCTCGCTACTCCACTCCCTCCTCTGCCTCCCTCAGCCGCCTCCTCGTCCCCTTTATCTACCCTGACCTCGCCTCCTTTGAGACTGTCACTGACCTCGCTACCCACCTGCGCTCCCTTGAAGCTCGCTTCAAGGCCGCTTGCACTGAGGAACAGCTTGCCCTTGCACCCCCCCCCATGTGGCTCACTATTCACTGGTTAGTCACTCGCCTCCCTGACCGTCTAGCCACAGCCCGCGACGCGCTTCTCCTGACGCACCCCACTGAGCTTACTATCGATCTTCTTGAGACCGCTCTCTCGAAGATCGAGAGTAACCTCCTCGCTGTTGCCTCCGCCTCTTCCGCGCCTCCTCCTCGTCTCTTTGAGGGGTGTGCGGTACCACAGCTTCCCACCTTCACTGCCTCGCTTGCCACTGCCGCGTCTTCTGCCTCTGAGGAGACGGCGGCCGTTTCTGTCTCTGGCGGACAGAAACGTGGCAAGTCCGGCAAGAAGGGAGGGAAGGGCGGCGGGGGTTCTGGGGGTGTTGCGGGTGGCGGCGGGTGGCGGTAGTACTAGTGGCGGGGGTGGCGGCGGGGGTGACTCGGGACCTGACGGCTCTCCTCTAGACGGTGGTGAGGGGTTTTCGCAACAGCAGCAGCAGACTCCTCCGCAGCTGCCACCGCCTGGACAGCAGCAGCGGCAGGGACAGCAGCAGCAGCGCCAGGGCCAACAGCAGCGTCCGCCTCAGCAGCAGCCCCAGCAGTGGGGCACTCTGCAGCAGTGGGGCACTCAGCAACAGTGGGGCCCTTCGCAGCAGTGGGCCCCCCCGCAGCAGTGGAGACCTACGGGCCCCCCGAGCACTGGGCGCAGTGGTGCCCCTTCTAGTCGGGGACCCCGCTCGGCCGGCCGCGACGTTGGTCCCTGTGAGTACTGGATCCTGACGGGTCCGCGCAGGGGCACGTACTGCGGCCGCCCTGACCACTCTGCTGCACGCTGCTTCAGCCGTCTTGACGACCTGTACGTCCTGCACCACGGTCCCTCCGCTCCCCCGCCACCGCGCTGGGGACCACTCCTTGCTCGTGGTGTTGCTGTGTTTGATATGTCTATGGATGATGCTAGGTCTTATGCCATGTATGCTGATGTTGACTATAGTGCTATCGGATCCGTTTACTTGCCTGTACCTAGCGTAGGATCTTTGCCTGTTGCTAGAGTAGGTGCTGGTGTAGGATCCTGTCTAGCTACTAGTACAGGTGCTCCCTCGGCGGACGCGTCGCTCTCCTTCACACTGGACTCCGAAGCGACGCAGTGCTTCTTCCGCGACAGCACGACTCTTACTCCACTCTCGGCGCCGGTTTCTGTAGCACTGGCCGATCCCTCTTCGGGACCGGTCATTGCGACTCACGCCACTACCCTCCTGTGCCCAGCTGCCCCTTCCGGTTCTCTGACCGGCCTCCACGTTCCTACTTTCTCTAGGAACCTGGTTGGTGTGGCTCCTCTGGCGAGACAGCACGTCGGGGTCTGGTTTGAGCCTTCGGGTGACACTGCAGTCTGTGTGGACGGTGACACGTACGCCCCTCTGGCCACTTTTCGTCAGGAGCCGGGCTCTGGTCTATACACCCTCCACACCGACACCCGTCCGGTTCCCCCGTCCCACCAGGTAGCCAGGTCCAGTCAGGTAGCTGTGCCAGGTCTAGTGGCTGCGTCGTGCTCGTGTCGGTCGCTGTCCCACCCTGCCCTCCTCTGGCACCACCGCCTTGGTCACCCGTCCCTCTCTCGTCTCCGCGCTATGTCCAGTCAGCGTCTTGTCTTAGGCCTCCCCCGCGACCTCCCGCCGCTCCCGCCGTCCCCCGCTCCTCCATGCGGTCCTTGTGTCCAGGGACGGCTGCGCGCCACTCCTCACTCCTCCTCCCTTCGTCCAGCCTCCGAGCCCTTTGAGACACTCCACTTAGACGTCTGGGGCCCCGCTCCCCGGCTTGGACCTGAGCGAGAGAGCTTCTTCCTAGTGGTCGTTGACGACTACTCTCGGTACACCACCGTGTTCCCTTTGGCGAAGAAGTCCGACGTGACTTCTACGCTGATCCGGTGGCTGCTCGCCACCGAGAGTACTCGTCGTCGTCGTGTCAGTTGTCTCCACTCCGACCGTGGGGGTGAGTTTCGCTCCGGCATTCTCGCCAGATTCTGTGCTGAGCAGGGCATCAACCAGTCCTGGACTCTTCCAGACTCTCCACAGCAGAATGGGGTTGCTGAGCGCCGGCTAGGCCTGGTCATGGAGATTGCCCGCACCTCCATGATCCACGCCCGCGCGCCCCATTTTCTATGGCCCTACGCGGCTCGGTACGCCGCTCACCAGCTGAACCTCTGGCCTCGCGTCTCTTGGCCAGGGGCTTCACCGACCAGTCTTTGTACAGGGTCCCCTGGTGTTGCGTCGAGGTTTAGTGTCTGGGGCTGCTTGGCGCTTGTCCGCGACACCTCTGCGGACAAGCTCTCACCTCGCGGCGTCCTCTGTGTCTTCCTTGGTTTCCCTGAGGCCTCCTCTGACTTCACCTTTTACCACCCTCCCTCCCACCGGTTCTTAAACTCACGTGACGTCAGTTTCGACGAGTCCGTCCCCTACTTCGTCCGGTACCCTTGTCGAGGTCTCCTGGTTCCCCCCCCTCCCCTCTTCCTTGCCCCAGCTCCTCCTCCTCCCGCTCCCTCTCCTCCGGTACCCCCCCCGGTTCCCGCTCCGTCAGGAGTGTCGCAGGCTACCCCCCCTCCCTCGGTCCCCCCCCAGGTCTCTCCTCCTTCCCCACAGTCGTCCTCACAGCCTCCGCAGCAGCCGTCGGCGCTTCCTCTCCCGGCCACTGCGGACTCTGAGGGTGTTGGTACTCGAGGTGAGGGCTCTGGCGGTGCCGGTTCTGGGGGTGTTGGAGTTGGAGCTGAGCGTGCACCTGCCACAGCTGCACGTCCCGAGCGTGTTGGAGTCGGTGGTGGTGCTGGAGCTGGTGGTGTTTCTGGAGCTGGAGAGTCTGGGGCTGGTGCTGGTGCCACTGGCGGCGCCACGACTAGGGGTGCGGGTACACCTCCTACAGGTACTGGTCGTGCTGCCGCAGGGGGTCCTCGCTCTGGGGGTGCTCAGCCGGGTCCTGTCGAGGGTGGAGCCGGTTCTTCTTCGTCGTCTCCTGACACCACTCCTCCTCCTCACCCCTACCCGACTCGTTACCAGGCCCTTCGTCTTCTAGAGCGTGAGGAGCAGCAGCGTTTGGAGCGTGAGAGGTCGGAGGTTCAGCAGCGGGTGGAGCGTGAGCGGTTGGAGTTTCAGCAGCAGCAGCAGCAGCCGCAGCCACAGCCACAGCAGCAGCAGCAGCAGCAGCAGCAGCCGCAGCCGCCGCAGCTGCCGGAGCAGCCTCCGGCCCCTGTTT